TTTACCAGAATACTTTTTTTTCCATAAAAACTAAATTCTCACCGTATTCCTTTTTTTTCGTAAGATAACCCGATTAAAATTAATGTAATTTTTAAAATATTTAATCTTTTTGTTCGTTGAAAATTCCTAATGATTCTTAGTGTTTATTGTTTTAACGTTTGTATATTGTTTATAATTTGAGCTTTGGTTAGATGTTAGTTTTTTTCGAGATTCGAAAGCACCCTTGAATTATATCTTATGACTATAAGGATATATTTTCATGATATGCACAACATCATTAAAAGGGCTTTTTTTACTAAATGCACATTAAATAATTTTAAAGAATTTTTTTAAAAAAATAAGGTCAATAACCTTGTGAGTTTGAAGTTTGCGTTTTTCTGAATTGACAATTGCTTTTTTCATTTCAAAAATCTGAGCAAATTTTTAAAATAATATCCCTTAAACGCAAGGAAAACGTCAACACCTTGCAAGTCAGCAACACCTTGTGTTGACAAAATTTAAAATTAATTTTAACGATTTGGGTTAATAATCAGAAAAAGAAAACATGAAATTAATCTTTATGTCGCTACGTTTTTTGTTATTTAAAAAGTCATTGGTTATTTATGAGACACCCATACACTCAAACAAGCTTCCAACACTGCAACTAAATCACAGCAAATAATGCCTATTCAATTTGGTTTTTAAAATTTAATTGATTTTGAAATACCATATCCTATTAACTGTTTACTAAAATGTAGGTTTAAAAGGAATTATGAACCGAAAACGCAAGAGGTGAAAAATATTCAATTTCTCTTTTAAAAGCATTTTTGATAAAAATTATTGAGCTTTTTGTGGTTCCCATAAAGCCAGCAACAAAGTAAGAATTAGCATATTCTGGTAGCTCTGACCATACTTGCGTTTCTCAATGTATAACTAGCAGAATTATAAACCTATAAATTTATACAAGCATTTTTTTTTCAGTGAGTAAATGCAAATTTCTCCTAATGGAATTCTCTTTCAAAGATTAAGAAATGCTGTTTGAAAAAACTGCTAGAGTTTTAATAAATGATTTGAATGATAACGAAAAAAAAGTGTCATTAATAATGTTATCGTCTTACAAATTATTACCATAATTATAAAAAAAGAAAAAAAAACTTAGTGAGAAATATTTAGAAAGTTCTTTTCTAAAAACCAAACTATAAAGTTTATGATCAATTAATTTTCTTTTAATAATGTAGGCTTTTACATATTTTTCTTATCTGACATGAAAACAAATGTATTTTCCATAAGAAATTGCTTAGTAATTTGTTTCATGTCATTTCCACAGAATTTGACATATTATATGTTCACTATTGGCAGGCGATTAATGTAACTAGATTTACCTAACGTGAAATTAATTGAGATTAAAAAAAGTCGAGAATTAAGTGCTGGAATCAATATTCTTAATATTCTAAAAGGAAAAGTTTAAATTCATTTTTCGGTTATAATATGACATAAATAATGATAATATTGTTTAAGTTATTTATTTTTCTTCAATATGGTATCAAACGATTCATTGACATTCTCATCAATATATTTTTTTAGTGAGAGATTTTCAGAAAGGCAGAAAAATTTTCAGCAAAAAATTAGAAAAATAAATAAAAATATATTAACATAAATAATCATTTTAGAAAAAAATGAATAATTATCTTAATTTTTATCTCAATTATTTATTCGAATAATTTAAATTTAATTGCCTATGTTTACTACTTAAACATGCACTATTATCTCATCTTTTTAGTGTATTTTTACTATTTTCAAACTACTACGAAAAAATCTAAATACCTGATTCCGTATTTGAAACAGTTTGATTAAAATAAATTGCTTCTAAATTGATTTGAATTGTTTTTGCATTAAAACTACATTCTAAAATATATCAAAACATGTAACTAATGCAGTCTTAAAGCAAATCTTAACACGTTTTAAAGATTTAGTGATCATGTAGTTAAGAACGTAACTGAACTGAATCGAATGTAAATGTTCCAAAATAAAACTGAGAATAAATTTGATAAAAGAGCAACTTTATTAAAACAAACTTGCACCATTATGTAGAAGCCAAAATTTGAAAGAAAAACATTCAAAATATTCAATCAATAGTTTCGCCCAAATACCCCTGAAATACATGCTAAGATTAATTTAAATGTTTAGTTTTGTAAATAGAAATTTCCTTTAGATCGAGACTTTAAGATAGTATAATTCCTAAACGTTTGTAATCCGCTTAAACAAACTAGAAAAAGTTGAATAATATTTTCATATCTTAGTCAGTTTTCCCCTTAACTTGTTAAAAAAATTTGGAATATGCAATAGAAAATACTACAGGGCTATTATTTTCCGATAAGAAGCAAATAAAAATTATATTTTTTACTTATTTTGTTTATTTATTTATTTCCTTATTTATTTTTAACAAACTGATTTTCGTCTTCGCATTTAGTTACTTACCATTTAGTACTGAATTATTTCAAGCATTGATACATATTGACAAAATAATTTTAGTAAATATATTAATTAATTTCATATGCCAAGTACGGGGTAAAGTTTGAAATAACGTTGCACTAAATGTAAATACCATAAAGATAATTTTACTCAAAATCTGAATAAAATTTTAATTTAATTTCTGATTATCCCACAGACATAGAATAGCCTATTCTCAAAATTGTAATGCATGAGACAAATGCCTATTGAAGGTATTAAATTACAGGATAAAGGGCAATACATTGATAAATAGTAAAAATATTTAACGCAGGATGAGAAAGCTCATGATCCTGGTTTCAACTTTCCCAATCATAATATTTTTGGATTTATTCATACACTTCAGATTGCATACGAAAGCAAGATTTGGTGTTAACTTAAAAGTTTTCCTTCACACTATTTTTCTCTCACTATATTCTTCAGACTGTTTTTACAGTGCATAGTAGCATGCAAAGAAATCACGCTATTTTATTCATGATTGTGAACAATCTTCTGACGATATTCAAAGCTCTTTCAAATTGGTGCTTTCTGAAGCGGAAATAATTCAGGTGTGGTGCTGCGATTTAGTTCTGTGTAATTATTCTCAATTAGTGGTTTCAAGATCTAACTACACCCTTGAACATGTTTATGAAGGCTCAATTGAATGTTAACTGTATATTTCGAAATTCGGACACCTATAACACCACTTTGCATTGTATATGTATAAAATCTTTTATTTTCCAGACTATATCAAGTTTTTAAAAAGAAAATGCGTATTTTCTAAGACTAATTCCAGATTCATTAAATTGTCTTTTAGAACAAATTCTTTAATTAGAGTTAAATTTAAGTCAAAATATCAACTTATGAGAGCCTACGTCACCTTTCTTAATACAGCCTTTTTTAAGGATTGGCAAAAAAGTACAATTTAATCCCCATTGCCTTGCTTCATATTTCAGTAAAAGATGCCTCCAAATTATATGCATTTCCAAAGACTTCTTAAAGTTTACCCTTAAAAACTAAGACTATGTGATATTTACCGTACATGCAAAACATTCTTGATTCAAGTATTAGACGAAACAAATACCTATTACTTAGGAGTGAATACTTCTGCCTCTTCAATTAAGTGTCAGACAGGGTTGATATCCTTGACGTGTACAGCACATTTTTTTTTATTTATGAATCACATAACGGATTTATGATTGCTTATATTAGCCATTTTTTATTAGGTGCAAAAGAACACAATTCTAAATCGGGACTCCTATTAAACTAGTCTTGCATTGTGTATGCATAGAACCTATTCTTTTCAAAGCTTGCGGCACCTTTCTTATTATCGCCTTTTTTAAAGAAAGTTTTAAAAAAATACGATTTTAGCTCCAATGCATTTTTTTGAAAAATATTTTAGCATAAGATAGCTCTAAACTATGCCTTTCCAAAGATTTTTTACACTTTATTCTTAAAAACTAAGACTATATGATAGTTACCGAACATGCAAATTCTCTAATCAAGCAATAGAATAAACAAATGCCTATTATTTACACTGTTAGAAATTTCTCGGGAAAAATGGTTAAATAAAAACTTATTTAATCATTGTTTTACCATAATCTACCAAAACAGTAAAATAATCATAAAATATTGTATTAAAGCTGCAAACTGGAAGAAAAACTGATTGTTAACTGCTTTCGCATAATACGATTAAACAACCAGAATTTTATCGCACCAACTGAGCCCACCTGATGAAACTATTTAGCTCCTTGCAGCTGCGAACAATAAATCATAGCCAAGAGGGTTAATCTATCATTCACATGACCCAAAACGATAGTTCGAATCCCAGTGTTGACAGCACACTATTTCCCCCATCCCCTTCAGTGAAGAGTTTGTGACTCTGGACTATTAGAACACGATACTCTCATCCACGCATTAATGGTGCAAAACCCTCAAAGATCCAATGTCCGTATAAGTTTTATTTATTTATTTATTTTTGGTTTCGAAGTTATGCTAATTGCAATTGGCAGAGATGCCAACTTGCTCCGGACAGCAAATATATATTTTAAAGTGGTAGTTTATCAATTGTGATTCTTGGTTTAATAAATTCAATTTAGTAGATTTTTATCCACCACTATTTCTAAATAATTCATAGACTTATATAATTCACCACTTTGTAGAACTTACGTCATGCTATACGTATTAAAAAGCAGGTAAAAATAGTCAAATATTTGCAAAATTTACTTTGTAGTTATTTACCGTTTTTTTAATTACTTTGGTTTGTCCGGAGCAGTTGGCATCTCTGAATTGGTCTGTATCGGTAAAGAAGTGTTCTTAATTATAAATTTTTTGTTTAATTGGATGAACAGACTGATGCAGGTTATTTTACCGTAATTTCAGAGTGAAACTTTTAACTGTGTAGCGATAATGCTTTTGCCTCTTCAGTTAAGTGTCTGACAGTTCGATTGCTCAGCCCTGTGCATCATGTTTTATTTTATTTACGTATCACATGTAGCGTATATATGATACTTACGTTGACTCTTTTTTTCTAGGTGCCGAAGGTCACCTCGATCACATGCTTACTCGAACAGAACGTAGCTTTGGAGGATCGAAGGCAGAACCACCGTCAAGACCAAATTCGTATTGGGATGATCCGCATTATCGCCCTTATTTTGACAACAGTACAGAGAGGAATGTAACTGCTCAACTGGGAAAAACTGCATACTTGCATTGTAAAATACGCCAGCTGGGAGATCGAACAGTGGGAGCAGTAAGTTCAATACAGTTTTTTACAATACCAGTTTATTCTTCAAAATTGTGAATTCTTGAAAGTATTTTTCCTAACAAAGTTAAGTACGTAAAGTCAGCAAATATCATTTCTATAAAAATTATTTTGTGTCTAGAAACAGAAAAAAAGTTATACAGAAGGTTTAAATTCGTATTTGAACATAAAAACAATATTGTAGCAACAGCTCTGAAAGTTTCTTTACAGAAGAAATCAGGACTGCTGATATGTTTATTACTAAAGTATAAATTTCTTCTGTTAAAAATTTGCAGATTGTAGACATGACTGTAGGATTACAGAATAAGTCTTGCGCCTTACAGCGATAAACTCTATAAGGATTATAAAATACATCATAAAACGCTAGTCTCTTTTCTTGACAACAATTTCCTATTAATTATTATTTTGCATAATATTGCTAAAATATTAGTTCTCAAATGTTTTTACGGACAAAAAATTGTTTAATATGTAATTGCTTAATATTCTCTTTAATGTGATTTTGACGACTCTAAATGTTAAAATTTCGATCTACACTTAAGCAAACAGTTCCGATTTTTTTTTCTCCAGACAAATTATTGCCGAATTTACAAATGGTTTACGACTATTTTCATTATTATAATTTAATTACGCAAACGCTACTAATTATCATAGAATTTGTTGCACACATATTTTTTTTTTGTATTCTTTAAGAAAGCAAATTCAAAGAAAATGGTAATGTACTAAAATTTTAATCATCCTACATTATTTTTGTCTAAATTGTCTGCATTCTTAATAGAAAATCAGATACAAAAAAGAAAACTAAAAATAATGGAAAAGTACCAATGACTAAAAATTATTAAAATTCCCTCCTCATCTGTTCTATCATCCACGTACATAAACACTTCAATGGCTTTAGGATAGAATGCTGAATTCATTTATTAGCACTCGACTCATTTAGTTGAATATGCATTCATAGAAAGATATCGAGTAAATGCTTCGAATACATAATCTATTCCCTTTCAGAGTTGTTCTCCATAATTAGTTCCCTTCTATCGTCTCTCACTTACTTCATCAATCAACTGAATATATATAGATATATACATGCATATATATACCTTCAAAAGCCGATAAGTTATGCAATCAGGGATTGAATGCGGGAGCGAAATGTAATCTCGCGGATCCACACCTCTCTTAGCTCCATCTAGAGTTAGAATCTTTAAGTTCTTTAAACACTTGTGAAATGTAAAAGGAAAGTGTGGTGATGGAAAGATTGAGTACCATTGAGGATCAAATGTTGCCGAAATAGTCATGGTTTCTTTTAAGATATTTGTTGCGATTTGCTTTAATTTCTAAAAGTGTAATACGTATTTTACATTTTACAATGAGCAATTATTAAGATTTACTTGGTGTAGATTATATAAAATTTGAAAATCCACTTAAAAATGGGGGGAAAAGACAGAAATGTACAATTTACTGGGTAATGCTTAGATGCTTAAGTTGCATAAATTTAGAATTTAATTAATAATTCGCTCATAAAGCAGATTGGCTGGAAAACTGATAAAATAAATTATTTGTTACCACGGGTGATGAAGAAAACTTAATAGAAGCATTTTCAAGATATTTAAAAAACGCACAATTTACACAAAAGATGTGTGCACTTCGATTAGATGATAAGTTTCTTTTATTTTCAATCAATAAAAGTAGTAGCTTGCTGAATAAATATAAGAATATATTGAATAAAATTTCAAATACGTTTTTTTTAAACTGTAACTCGGCTAGATGTGCATGCATAAAAACTAAAAGCTAAAAAAAGAGAGAGAAAGTTTACAGAAACGCTCTTGTAATCGATAGCTAAATCAGTAAGATTGAGAGAAATTTTTCCTGTCACGCACAACTCACCCAATGAATAATCTACAGAAAACCGGTTTTTAGGTCCAAGAACGCCCACCTGCTTCAAGTTCAAATCATTCGTGAAATAGAACGAACAATTCAAACGTAAGGAATCAAATTGAATTAATTTCTGTCTATTTTGAGATGCCGTTTACCTTAAATTATATATTTTGTTTATTAATATTTTTAACTTTGTAACAGAAATATGCTTTGATTTTGCTTATTTGGAGTCGGATTCACAACAATTTTAACTGATTTGATTGCTACAAAATTGAAAGTCAAACATAAAGAAATAATTTATCCATAATTGCTGTGGAGTAAGGTAACATACATGATACACGCTTTATTTTTTAAGATTATTTTATTTTCATACAAGATTGATTAAGTTTATATCAAAGTTACCTGAACATAATCATACATTTTTGTGAACATGAAAGAAATCAAGATTTTCTATTACTGTAAGGCATAGAAAAACTGATGTATGAAGAAAAAAATTCACACAAGTTATTTCTTTAAATTTGAACATGTGTTAAACTCGCATTTTTCTGTCTTTTTAAAAATCGCAGAAATGCTGGGATTTAATTAAAGTTTTATCCACAAAAGCTTTTTGTGTATCTTTTATCAGCAGTTTTTATCCTGTTGCGATTGAACAAAAATATTTGGTTCACTTTGCCACAACTTTATAAATTATTTCTACCCAATATCTAGTTTCGTATAGCTTTTGAGTGTTCCATCCTATGAACTACATATATATTTCTTAATTACTGAAAACTTACATATGTTTCTTAAATTTTGCGCATGGTTCTTAATTGAGATAACCTTAAAAGAAATTTATAACAAAATTTGAAAGTGGAAGATATCGATAAATAGCAATGTTATTATTTTATTCTTTTTGAAATTTAAAATAGAAAGACGTTATATTTTTACTTTGAATAAAAATAGCAACAGATCAAATAATGTTTGAGAAAATGGCGTATACACCTTTAATCTTTGAAAATATAATAAAAAGTGAATTGATGCTATAAAAATGAAGCACAATTATATTACTTCCATGATACCGTATAGTACAACAGTATAAACATATCACAATAAGTATTTTCGAATTCTAAGGGATTCTATCCTATATTCCAAGAAACACAATGCCGTGTTGAGGTCGTACTTTCTCTTTGAGAGAGAAGAATTATGGCTGTGAAGCTAAGATAAACAAAGAAATCGAGTATTTTTTTAATCATATGTTAGGCTACGTGTGGAGAAATAATATTTACTGTTTATTATTAGCAGTATTCAGCAAAGCAAACAGTTTATAGTAAGTTACTTTAGAGTCCTTAAGGATTATAACCAAAGATGAGTGGTGCGTCGACACTATCTTCTCTTTGATGAAGGAGACCATTACTGCCCAACTGAGATAATATAGAAATCGGATATTGTTGGGCAACTTAGAGTTATGATACTGAAATGATCGTAATCGTGCAACAATGCTCCTCGTTACTAAAACGCTTCATTTATCAGACAAATGCAGTGATTTATCGGCTTATTTATGCTAAAGAGTCATAAATGCGTTTTAAGAAGAGCTTAAACTTTCATCTCTGTCAAGAGAAATAAAATCAACACTCAACCATTTAATGCCGACTACTTCAATTGGATACCAGCAACTGACGTCATTGTGGAAAAATCGTGACATTCGTCGATTCGAAAGCTAGTCAGTTTCTACTCACACGTATGTCGTCGATTACAGGTATCCAATTAAATCAGATATAAATCACATGGTTGGGCATAATTATGTATACTTGGTCTCCCGAGTTAAAAGTAACCAATTAAACTATTTTTAAAAATGGGTAGAAATTTTTTTTAAAAATATGTTTGACTATTTTTACAGAAGAAAATAACATTTTTTTTTTTCAAAATTATTTTCACCATTTTCAAACTTATTTGAAAATCATGTTTGAAAATTAGTAGTACTTTTCTTCTGTAATGTATTATAATTTGAGCTTTTAAATCAACCAATACCGTTGTCCATCAGTTTTTTAAATAAATTACCATCACTCGGGATTCCTTAGATTACTTTTCCTGACCAAATTTTGGATGCAGATTTCAGATACTGCAACGTTGTCTGAATCGGAAAAAAACTGGCCAAAAATCAAAGCTTTTTGCTATATCATATGTTGTGTATTTTTTAGGGGTTTTTGGAGGGTCACTAATTGCAAATATAGAGTCAGAATTGCAAATTTCATTGTTCGGTTAACCCAAGTCGGATAAAAGTTTTATATTGAACAATACATCGCAAGCAAATTTCGAAACACTTTGATAAATGGGCATGTCTTTGTTTTAGGAAATTATGATTGCTATCATAAAACTGAATTTCTAAACTTTATATACATTTCTAAATATATTAGAAGTAAATTTAAAATTCGTAATTTTAAATTGTGAATGCAATTGGGATAGGATATTATATATCATTTTTTTAGAAAATAATTATAATGTTGTATATACTTCAAAATATCGAGTATAAAATTTAAAATTCACTTAGAGTGAATATCTATTAACATTCAAGCAAAGTTACTTTAGTAGTATTTTTTAAAAAAATTAATTTCTTTTTCCAATTTTTATTTCTTGGAATGCATAAACAACTGTGACAATGCTCAAAAAATGCTTTCTGAAGCTGATTTTTATCCTGATAAGATTTATGCTATATACTCTTAAACACGTATCAATATTTTTATATCGTTCGGATAAAATTATTTTGATTATTGTTTACAGAACTTCAAATTTCTTCTTTCTGAAATTAGTCTTTCAAATAAGTTATGGATAGAAATATTCGCTCATGATCAGACATACATCGTACTGTTGGAAAATTATTAAAGCTTTCGTCATGTTTTGCAGGTAAAGGTTGCATAATTACAATATATATAAAAAATGCATTCATTGGATTAATTTTCAAAACCATTGCTGTTTTTTTAACTCAAGGTAAATTATTTTAGGCCCGTGTTTAAATACATTTTTTTGCAGTATGCCTGTTTCGGCAGTGGGGGGTGCGATTGTTCCTGTTTTTAGTGGCGCCATCTATTGGCAGGAAATTGACTTCTGCCACGCCATTCACACAACCACAACCCGTTTATAGG